AAAAAAAAAAAAGACCCCGAGTTTCCATGCGGGGACCTTAAAAGTGAAGAGAAATTAAATTACTTATTATGATTAATTATTACGAAAATACGCGCCCATGTGCACAGACGCAGGCACGCGTGCACGCACACACGTGTGCACGCACACGCACCCCCCGCACCCCCTCGCACTGACACGCGGCCCTAAAATTGTTGTTAAGAGGGGAAAAAGCCGCCGCCAAAGGTTACATCAGCAGGGCAAGCAAAAGGGGGACCAACCCTTCGCCAGCAGCAAAAGCAGATGGGATAACACCGTGAATAATTTGCTTTTTATGCTCTAAAGCCCTAAGAAAACTTATATTAAAGCAACGAGGGCCAATAAAAGTTTTATGGTTCTGGAAAGGAGGGAGCTGCTTGTCAGGCTCCGACTGCTCCGTCTCTGCGGCCGGCGGAGGGGAAGGTCCCCTCCGGGGGAAAGGAGAGGGGGATTTTGATTGCTGCTGGGAGAAAGGGCTGAAAAGGCTGTAAAAGGAACGGAAAAAAAGAGCTGGGCTGTAGAAACAGAGCGGGGGGGTGTGGGTGTGCCTGTATTCACACACCTGTGGGCGCATCCGTGGGCGCCTGGCTAAACCCACCCGCACAGAAAGGCCGAGCGGAGAAAGCTGTACGTGAGAAATGAGCCCGCGCTGCTTTCTATCTCTGATCTCTCTTAATAAATGAAGTTCCAGGTTAATAATTATAACCTTCGCGCAATAATAAATAACGGCATAACAGGGAGACAGGGCTTGTTTTTCTCCCCGGGACCGGGGCTGGGCTGTGCCCGTCCATGCAGAGAGCAAATTGCCATTCGGCGATACTGTAATTTAAAAGCATAAAAGCGTGCAGGCTCTGATTGGGATCGGCTCAAGGAACGGGAGCTTGGGCTGGGCTTGCGTTTCTCCTTGGCTTTTTTCCTCCCCCTCTCATTGAATATGATTTTCCTTCTCGCCTCCCGGTCGCCATGTTGCCGGGTTTTGTGTCAGGGATTCCCAGGAACTAGGGAAAATCGGGAAAAAGCAGCCGGTTCCGAGGTGCCACCGCTCGGTTTCTCGGTGGGCTCCCTCCCCCGCAACTCCTCGCATCCACGGTTTCATCTGCATTAAAGAAGCAGGCCCGGGGCTGTCTTACAATTATTGCATTTCTCTATCGTTCGCTAACCCTGTGAATCCATTCGTATAAGGTGACGCCTTTCCCCCTGAGGAGGGAGATTTTTTTCCCCTTGTGCCTCCGCGTAGTGCGTGGGAAAAGTCCCTCTTTCCCCAAGGGGTTCTTTTTTCTTTTCTCTTGCTTGCTTGCTTCCCCCCCCCC